CCCAGGTGAGCTGATGATGAGCCTCCTATGGTATTACAGACCAGAGCACTTACAGGGAGGCCGCAGTCCCAGCATGCACGAGGTGAGTTGCCGGGCAAATGGGATGGGGAAGGCAGGGGTGGCAGAAGGAGAGGTTGTAACACAAGAAGATGATATGGGGAGGGCAGCTGTGGGTAGTCAAGTCCCTAGATTTGTTACCTTGGATGCCAGAGAACTTGGGAAGGGCCTGGGTTTCAGCTTCTTTTCCCCAACTCATGTGTCAAAGAGGATAGGAACCTTTGTCTAGAAAGGGAGCCCTTGCAGGTGGGGGTGCCAGAATGTGTCTTCCTGTGGACAGGAAAGGGGAAGTGAAGCGGCACACCTACCCCCATTTGAATGCTGTATGCAGCATGAGAGGGCGCAGGAGAAAGACTGCTTCTAACATCCCTTGGCACCATACCCAGTGGTGTGCTAGAAGTGGTACTATCCTCTGGGTGTGCTGTCATCATTCCCCATCCCCACCTCCCTCACCCCCAGCCAGTCTGCGCCCTCTTTTACTCTGCCAGGAAGATGCGCACCAACTCCCCTCCTTGCCTGGCTTGGGGTTAGGAAGCTTAATGACAGGCTGGAGGGGGCATCTGGCTTCTCCAGAGTAGCACAGAATCTGGGAAGAATGCCTTGGGATGCCAGGTGGGAGGGGCAGTTATACTCATATTCCAGGGAAGCTCCCTGACTTTCAGGGCACTAGCTGGAGTGATCTCAGGTCAGGAGTCTCAGCAGAAGGGTTGGAGTTAATGTCCACCTTTTCCCTAGAGCTAGGTGCTTCCAACCTCGGTAACTGATCTCCTCTCTCCCCTTGAGCCTTTGCAGAATGAAGTCTTTGCATCGAGGCATCAGGACCAGAACAGTGTGGCCTGCATCGAGGAGAAGTGCTATGTGCTGACCTTTGCGGAGTACTGCAGGTGGGTGGTGCCCTGTGTTTCTGGCTAGCCTCTCCCCTCAGACTCCCTTGGGCTATTTGGGGGCTGCCTGTGAGCCCCAAGGGGATCTCACTGGGCCTGACCTCCTAGAATGTTCTTCCTTACAGCCTACTTCTGCCATCTGATTTAAAAATATGTTTCTTAAAATATATCTTTATTGATTTCAGAGAGAGGAAGGGAGAGGGAGAGAGAGAAACATCAATGATGAGAGAGTCGTCATTGATCGGCTGCCTCCTGCATGCCCCCAACTGGGGATCGAACCCACAACCCAAGCATGTGCCCTGACCAGGAATCGAACCGTGATCTCTTGGATCCTAGGTCGATGCTCAACCACTGAGCCATGCCCGGCCAGGCACCATCTGATTTTTTTTTAGAAGAAAAAAATTGTTACCTGTCTGAGACAGAGTGGTTGGACAGAATTGGGGGTGGTTACAGTACTGCTCTCAGAAAAAATCAAGGAAAATTGGCAGCTGATCATGAGGGAGGCCCTGGCAGGTGTGGTTCCCCAGTGACAGAGAAGGTAGACTGACAGTTGGCAGAGAGGGTGTAGCCCTCAGGACACAGATGGAGGCAGCACCTCGTAGGGGTTAGAGGTGACTTTTCAGTTCTCTGAACAGGGTGGGAAAGGGATTGGTCTTTCTGCAAAGGCGGCTTTGATAAAGACAGTGAATGATGTGTCACTACAGATTCTGTGCCATGGCCAAGCGCCGAGGCGAGGGCCTTCCCAGCCGAAAGACAGCACTGGTGCCCCCCTCTGCGGACTACTCCACCCCGCCACACCGCACTGTGCCCGAGGACACGGACCCTGAGCTGGTGTTTCTTTGCCGCCACGTCTATGACTTCCGCCATGGCCGCATCCTCAAAAACCCCCAGTAGCCTCCTCCTGCCCACATTGGGGCTGCCCATGGGCAAGTGGGGCTCAGGGCAGGGGGGGCACTGCTTGAAGCACAGCACTTGGTTAAGGGGCCACAGGGGCCTGAGGTTGCTGGCCTGTGGTTCTTTTGGGGGGAGGGCAGGGGCCCCTCTGGGTTCCGGGTCTTAAGGGAGGGAAGGGGGAGGCCAGGGTATAAGAAAGCAGCGGAGCCCTCAGCTTGGCCCAAGGTACTCTGTGGTCCCTGGACAGAGACTCCTGAAGGAGCAGTCTTCCCTGAGGCTGGGCCAAGCCCGAGGGGCATGGGGCTCGGGGGAGAAGGGAGGTACTTCAGGAACAGGCCCCACAGGCCCTTCTTTATCCTCCTCTGGGCCCTTCAAGGGAGAGTGGGAGCCAGCTTTACCTCACCCACTGTGACCCGCTGCTTCCCCATCGGCCTGGGACCAGCCTCTTTCGGATTCTAGCGCAGCTTCCAGCTCGTTAAAGCCTTTGAGGCATAGAGAACCAGAGTCTGGCTTCCAGAGCATCGATTTCCTCTTCCTGGATTCAGGGCCTTTCCCTGGCTTTCCTCCTTTGCCCCTGCAGTCGCCCCTGGTGCTGGGACAAGTTACCTGGCCCTCAGAGTCATGGATGTCAGCTTCCTGTTTGCCTCCTGGTGAGGGGTGCTACCCAGCAGGTCTGGCTTCCCTGAAGTTAACTGATCAACATGGGGTAGTCATGCCTGGGAGGGCAAAAGGGAGCTGGGAGGTGGCAGGGGGCAGGGGACAAGGAAAATTGCTACCTGATTTATTGAAGACTTTTCCTCTTGCCTTACACTTAGAGGTTCTAGGAAACCTCTTGCAGAACTTCACACATGACTCTTCAAGCCACACCCACCTGAAATCAAACCTGCCTTTATTATAGTATGTTGTCACAAGTCCATTTGTATTGTCCCACAGCATAGCAGATCCAGCCCCAGGGACAGCCCCATAAGGTGGCAAGCAGGGCTGGGACTCCAGAATCTTTGATAAGGCATGAGGTGGAACTGGGCTGAGAGGTGGTCTTGGGCCCAGGCAGGCTGTTTTAGCTCTAGCAGCCCACAGTCTAGGTGAGACCCAGGATGGCCTGGAGCTCCTGAGCTTTGTCGCCAGGCAGTGAGCCCAGTGCTGAATGGAAGCTGTTGGTGTGCTTTTCAGCCAAGAATGTCAGGAGCAGCAGCAGTGCAGCCTTGGTGTCCAGTGGCATCTTGTCAGCCTGAATGAGGCTGTAGGTACACAGGAGTTCAGGAGCCACATCTACAACCTGGTCAGGGCTGCTCTGGTACAAGAAGTTGAGATGCCCTATGGTGACCCACTCCTCCAGTAGCAGGGCATGCAGCAGGGCAGCCAGCACCTGGGGCTCTGGCTTCCTTGTGGGACTGGCCATCAGGCAGGTGAGTGCCCCACAGATGTCATCATGAACACGATCATGACACTCCAATGCCAGGAGGGTCAACAGGAGCCCCACCAGCTTGGAGAAGTATTCCTGGCAGGGCAGCCCAAAGATGGCATAGCTCCACATTTCAGGGGCGTTCAGCAGCATGGGAAGCAGGTGGGACACAAACAAGCACCCAGTCCCTGAATGGACTCCACCAACTTCCCCACAGCAAAGGACTTCTCTGCCCCTGTGCAGCCCTGTTTCATCTCAGAGCAATAATGTCAAGAACCCAGTGAAGAAGGGGGCAAAAGCGTCTTTCCCCGGCCACAGCTGCCAGGGCAGGAATGGCCTCACCAGCGTCCTCTAGTCCTCTATAGTGACCGCATCATTTTCAGCCTGGTCTTCATCTTCTTCCTCCACAGTGTCCTGAGGCTGTCTTCCTCTGCTGCATGGCCTTGAGCATGTTGCAGAGCTCAGCGAGGCACCCTGGGGCCTACAGTGTGAGGGTCCCACAACTGTGCAGCATCCGTCAGGGCCTTCAGCATGGCCATCACCACTTGGCACTCCTTGTGGTATGCTGCCTGCATGTAGGACGGTACCACCTGGGCCAGGTGGCCTGCAGAGCAGCAGTGTTGGGTTCTGGGGGGCAGCTTTGACAGGCCTTGTGCAGCACACAATAGAACTGACCCAAAGCCTCATGGGCTGTCTTGCACACACTCAAGTGAGGGCACTTCAGAGCTTTGAATACTTCAGAGACTCTCCATGTAGGGAAGGAAGGCCACACTGGTGTTCCCCTGCCCTGTCACCCCTCACCCTAGTCTTTTGTAGATTGCACTAATTTACATCCCAGCGAGAAACAACACTGTATCAGTCCACAGACCTGCTGAGCTGCAGCCACTCACTCTAGGAACTAAGGACTGCATTTTGTTCTTGTTGCCCAGGGGCCCTTTTCTCACGTTGCTCCCCAGAGTAGATTAGGAGACTCAGCCCCCTGTTGTCCTTTCCAGGACTAGGCCCTGGCCCTGAGGCTCTCTGTGAGGGGCTGGAGCAGCCTGGTTCTTTCCTATTTGTACCAAAGAGGAGCATGGTGGGGAGAGGGAGAAGAGCCCTGTGTGGCTTGGGACTGATGCTGGGAAACTGCGTATGAGCACATCCCTGGGGGCAGGGGCAGACCAGGGCCCCACAGGCTGAGGAGGTGGCACTGGGTGAGGTCATGCAGAGTCTGGAGAGGGAGATGGAAGTGAATCCTGAGGGTACCCCCAGCAACCCTGGCTTTGTTCTGTTCTGAGAAAACAGCTGCTCCTGCTTAGTCATTGAGGTGGTGGAAGCTTGGAGGCTTCAGAGGTTAATTTACATGGGGAAAGCCCAATCCCAAACCTAAAGAGAAGGAACTCTGGTTCCTTTGGGAAAAGCTGTTTAGAGGAAAGCATTGGTTTAGGAGCCCTGTGCAGTAGGAGAGGTTGGCCGAGTAGGGGCTCTGAAGAGCCAGTCACAGAGCCTGCTGATTCCCACGGTACTGAGCCCTTGACATCTAGGAACCTAGCCCCACCCAGCAGGAGAAATTTAAGACCCCTCCTCCCAGGGTCTGCTGCCCAGAACTTAAATGCTTTTGAAATCTCTTAGATGTGGAAATATTTTTTCGAACCTAAAAATGCAGCTGGTAGAATTTCAATGGAAGCATAATTCATGTAAAATATATTTTAGTTGATAATTTTGTAAAATGCACTTTTTGTGTGTGTCGACCCTGGTTTCTCAAATCTGTATTTCAGTGTTTACAAGGGAGGGAGGACCTTTCCTCACCTCCCTTTTAAGAGAAATTAGAAGTACTTCTTTAAGAAAAAAAATAAATTTGAGAAATTGTATTGATTTAGAAAAGGATCGTTTCCTGTGTGTCCTGTCATCTTTTTGTGTATGGCTGTGGAGGGGTATTTATTTTGTGGGTCCCTTTTAACACTTGCAGTGCAGGGGCTCACTAAAACCCGTAAGCAGAGAGCAGGAAAGCAGAGGGAGGGGAGAAAACGGAACAAGAGTTAACTTAGCACCAGCCAGAGCCACCTGCCTGGAGTGAAATCCTTGGGTTGCTAGCCCTTACGAGGCTAGTGACCTGGGAACTGTTCCCCAGATAGTTGTACAGTGAAGATAGCACCTCATCACCTTGGGTCATACCCTTGGGAAGCTGGCCAACAGAAATTGGCCTAGGGCCCCAGTATCTAGCAAGTGGTACTCCTTGCTGAGGGAATGAAGGCTCATCCTGTGTGCTTTGATATTGATAGGATTGGGGGGCATCCAGGAGTCTTCTGTCTTCATTTTATCCCTCAGCCCCTAATCCTTCTGAATTCTGATCAAAGGTAATGCCATTCTCCCTCTAAAAGCCTCTGGCCTCTACTGTTCTACCCCCCCCCCAATACAGTGGGTTGTGGGTCAGCTGCTCCCCCCTCCCCCCATTATATGTCTGTATTCCATCTCTGAAGGATGGTGATTAGGAATTTAGGTTTTAGAATCAGACCGACACAGTCTCAGCTTCCCTGAGACTTGTTTTTTCAGTTGTACGGTGGAAAATGCCCATGGAACCTCCCTCCCAGGAGGACTGACAAATGAAGCAGAAAATAAAAAAACACTGAACAGATACCTGCCTCAAGAAGTTGGACTCTCATCACGTTTACTACTGTGCTTCAGAGCCTCCCTGGCTTTCCACACGTAACAGGGTGAAGTCTGAATACTTAGCAAGGTGTACAGTTCAAGTGGGGAATGGCTGGCCACTGATACCCAGGGCATTCCTGGATCTGCCTCTAGCCAATGTGGCCAACTTGGTGCCTTTGAGCATGTGTTTGGCTCCAGGCAAGGAAGCTTGCTGCTGCTGTGCCCCCAGCTGGGCACCCTTCAAAATGTGTGCTGACCACATAGTTGGTCACCAGACACCAGCTTGTCATTGGCCCCTCACCAGAGAGAGTTCCAGTTATCCCACTTCTTCATGCCTGGCAGAGCGACATTCAGCATTACCTAGTGGATAAACACTGTAATCGGCCAGGTAGTTCAATGTGTCACCATGGAGAAAAGCCACTGGTCAGTACCCGACAGTCTTGTTCCTCACAGTGGGCAGGGAGAGCACACTGGGGCAACTCTGTTTCAAGATAGAAACGGACTTCTCACAAGGGGGGGTGGT